CAGTATTCAGCCCGGGAATTTCAGATACTAAGTAATGTAGTTTCACTAAATGCTGGAGGAAGTTCTCTTGTGGATACAGTGAATACAGACCCACTGTCTCATCTTTCTCACAAAGAGGCAAGGTCTACACACACACACACACACACACACACACACACACACACACACAGTACACACACACACTACCAGTCAAAAGTTTTCTACATTTACATGTTACTCGCTTAACATTTACTAAAAATACTCAATATCCTTTGCTAGCAATTAAATTTACAGTATGTTCACCATTTGAGTACCTTTATTAGCAAGAAAATGTCATATCTTTGATTCATCAAAGTAACCATCTCTAGCAGTTGTAACAGCAGATAAAATTTGAGGCATTTTTTCTACAAGAGACATAAGAGACATTCTGTGAACTTGTGGGCAGTGGTGGCTTGATGGTTATGGGAGCGCACTTGTAATTGAAAGATTTCAGGTTTGAATCCCTGACCAGCAAGGCACCACTGAGGTACCCTGAGCAAGGTACTGCTCTCCGAACGCTGAATTAGCTGCCCCCTGCTATGTCACGATGTCACATATGGGTTAAATGCAGAGGACACATTTCGGTGTTGTGGTCTGTCAACAATGACCATTGATCACTAAATTCTAAAATTCTAAATTATATTCTGCTCTGTTTCATGGGATGAAACGGTTAACTAGTGCATTTAAAGTTTACGGACAGCCTAGAATTTGACAATGCCATCACCACACAACCACATAATAGGATGTCAGACATGCACTGTTACATACATCTTTCCATGTTATAAAGGAAACTTGTTTTATTTGACTTGATGTTTTTTCATTTATAACTGTTCACTCAACTTTCCAGTGCTTAAGAATAAAAATCTGCAGTTGATGAAATAAGCTGGTAACAAAGTGCTAAAAACCTGTGGTGTGAGAAAACCTTTGACTGGTATCGTATTTATATAAGTCCCAGCCGGGGTTGTCCTCACCTTATAAATGCAAAGGACAAAATTACAGCCAGATGATATGTGGACGACACAGACTGCGCATCCACAGAAGTAGACCTTCAGTTTATTTTAGTAAAGGGAAGCTTGCTGTTGAAGTTTGTGTTTTGCTTGTGGGACTCCCTGGCTTCCTAAGCGGCCTCCACATAGGGGAGGACGTGGGTTATGCATCGGTGATGTTTCAGCCGTGCCAGTGACAGGCCTTATCTGTGCACGGCAGGGCCAGCTTTACCTGCTGGTGACTGATCAGGGCTTCCTGACCGAGGAGAAGGTGGTCTGGGAGAGCCTGCACAACGTGGACGGAGATGGCAACTTCTGTGACTCAGAATTCCGCCTGCGGCCACCGTCAGACCCGAACACAGTGTACCACGGTCAGCAGGACCAGATCGACCAGGTCAGCCTGTTCGATCACTGTGCTTTTCTGTCAGTGGACCTCCAGTGAGCCTGGATAAGTTCCTGTGACGTTCAGTATGTTTTCTGTGATACGAGTCAAACAGGCAGCAAACTGTCCTTACTTTCTCATTATTCACTTTGTTTCCTGACCAGGAAGGGGAGTGACCCTTTCTGTTAAGGCAAATAGTTCTCGCGTAAGAGTGAGCTTTAAAAGACACGGGTCATCAACACAAATCAGGCCAGAAGCAGAGGGAGATGTTTTTCAGGAAAATAGTGGCAGATCTTGTGTTTTAGGTAAATGTAATCAATTATCGATACTTTTTTATTGATCCCCTTGGGGAAATTATCTTTACGCCTCTTTCATCTTGCTCTTTGTAGAGCTAGCTGTCCGCAAAGGGTTGCCACCCGTAGCGGCGCCCAGGGAGCTGGGGGTTAAGGGCCTTGCTCAAGGACCCACAGACGTGCTGAGGCTGGGTTTGAACCGGCGACCTTGTGATTACAGGCACACAGGCTTAGCCCACTGAGCCACACACTGCCCCCTACGTTGACTGGCTGTCAGTGTAATGCTTTTTTGTATTTTGTCTTATGTTTGAGGTGTTTTGGACGCAGCTGTATGGAGTATCGGCCTGTCAGTAATCGATGCTAAGACCTCCACTCTGTATGGTTTCCTGTTTTTTTTTTTTTTTTCCCCTCCTTTTCTGCCTCACCCAGTGGGTCCTCATTTGCACCACACTCTTCTGTCTCATCAGTGGACTGGATCTTACTGTCGTCTCTCTAACTGACCACACATGCCAGATTCGTGTCATTTCAGTGCCACGTCGCGTGTCACCCTGACTTTAACCCTCCCACTGTCTGTCTTTTTCCGTTCAGGACTATCTGATGGCCCTGTCACTGCAGCAGGAGCAGCAGAGCCAGGATCTGACCTGGGAACAGATCCCAGAGGGCATCAGCGACCTGGAACTGGCTAAGAAACTGCAGGAGGAGGAAGATCGCCGCGCCTCCCAGTTCTACCAGGAGCAGGAGCAGGCGGCACAAGCACAGGTGTGGGATGGGGGGCCCCTCCCTCGGGGAATGGGCATGGGAAGGGGGGCCCCTCCCTCGGGGTATGGGCATGGGATGGGGGGCCCTGTGTGGGGCCATCGAACCTTATTTTGCACAGGAATAATAGAGCCTATTCCATTTTTATTCCCACAGGCACACCGGCTGCCAGCAGGGGGCGAGGCGGCCTCCGTGGCAGGGGCAGGGACGGGGGAAGCGACAGGGGGTTCGACCGCTGGCACAGCCCCCAGCCCCGGGAAGCAGCCCAGCACTGGGGAGCGAAAACACAAGAAGGAAGCCAAGGACAAAGACAAGTGTGTCCTGCTGTAATGAGGAGTGGGGCTGGAGGGAGGTCAACAGAAGGGGGCGCTCTATGCCCAGCTGACATATAATGCACAGCCCCCTTACGGAGGAGATGGCAGAGTAAGAAGGAGCAGTGAACTCCAGAGGAGCAGGGAGTTTTTTAAGTTCACATGCCACCTGTGCCTGATATCCTTGTACCCACTTTGTTGTTTTTTATATCGGTATGGAAAGCTAAGGGATCGGCACTATAACTTAATATTATGAATATGAAGAGGTGGCCGAAGCTGTAAGCCACACGTCGCACTACATCAGGAAGAGGGGGCAGAGAATTAAACTGGATCTCTGCGCAGTCGGTGCTCTATGGGGAAGTAACACATGCTCATCTTTTATTTCAGGCAGTTTGTAAGCTGTTTTATGTGACATGGGTTTAGAAGTATGTAGGAGCGCCTACAGCATTTGATTTTGTTGACTTGTTGCTTTTTAAAAATAGCCTTTTAATTTCCGTGCAAACATGTTTGGCCCTGGCGGCTCGCGGGGCCTGGATGCCGGCCGGCTCTGCGGAGCCAGATGTGTCTCGCACTGCGCCAAACGGCTGCCACTCACAGAACGGCACCCCCTCGAGTCTGAGCGGCCCACATAATCCTAGCTTGTTTCACTGCTTAAAGTTTTTCTGCATATGTTTACAAGTTTCTCTGCATCGTGGCGGGTTCCAGTCAATGTGGCCGACAGGGACATAAACCCATGCTTAGAAACACGAGAAGAGAACGTCAGTCCCCCTTCCTGAAGCTGCCAACGGGGGTGCCCTCCACGGGGCCCTTGGCGGTGCCAGAATGTCCGCTGGTGGCAGTAGCTTCACTGGCATCCAGATGGGCATTGATGCCTTCCCTGGATGATCTCTGCTCTGTCATCTCTCAAGATCCAGGTCTGCCTTACTCCAGAACATGCACGCAAACTGTAGGAGAATCTGTATCTAGTTAGGGCGTGTGTGCGTGCGTGTGTATGTATGTGTATCTACTGTACATACATGTATGTGTGTGGTTTCAAGTGAATGTCAGTGTTTATAAGAGGGAACCTTCACTACAGCAATGTTGCATTTCAGATTAATTTCTACTTTACGCAGGTGTGTGACTTAAAGGAGGGGAAGGCAGGGGGGCCGTAGTGGCCGAAATTACTTTATTGACGTCGCAGTATCAGTCCAGCACAGATAAACACGACTGCGGGAAGTGGTGTGTATTGTGGAAGTTCAGGCCCAAGCAATCTCCCGGAAGGTGTACCCAGTGACATAGAAGGACGTTTGTCTGCAAGGCAGAAGTTCCATCTGCAGTAAAAAGGCAGCTGTTCCCATGGGCCTGTCGATTTGCGTTCCCCTTTAAGAAGGGAGCCGAAGGGAAACCACACCAGTCGGTGTACCTGACTTGGCAAAGTGCCCGTGACACTCATCTACTGCAGGGCACCATCCTGTTATCTACGTTACGTTTAACTCGCAACTGAAGTTCTGATTCTAACAGTTCAGCTTCAGCTCTCCCTACATCTCACTTTTTAAATATGTGCATATACACACTTTATAAGAGTATATATAATATGTATGTATATATAATGGTTGGTACTGCCAATTTCTGAGCAACTAATTCTTGGTCTTTCTACACATTCCAGCTGAATGCCTTCACTGAAATAGCGATGTAGTGTTTCTTGGGTTTAGAAGTAAATAGCTCCACTATTATATGCGAGAGTTTTGGTATTTCTGTTATCGGTCTGTTATGTGGTCAGTCCCCAGGGGCCTAATGTTCTCTGTATATAAAAAAGCCTTATACAACATTAATTGATTTTTTTAAATTATTTTAATGGACAATGATGCATTATCAGAAAGAGACAATCTGTAGCTGTTGACAGACACCAGAAATACTCTCAGGCCCTGTGAGAATGGACAAATCCTTGAGTGGCTGGAGATGTTCAACTTAGTTGCTTTATACGACTGCCCCATTTAGTGAACATCGGTGAGAAGTGTTCCTGTTGGGCCCCCCCCATGCAGAGAAGGTGTCATGATAGTATTTGTGTTCGGGGATGAAAATGTGTACACAGGCATACAAGCGTTTGCGCAGGTTATCACACTGGATCGCTTTAACATGTAACTATCATGGTAATTAGAATTTTCTCCCCCTCCCCCCCCCCACAACAGTACTTTGTCAAGCTCACCAAGGCTGTCGTATTTATAGACGTTTAAACTTTCTTGACAATGTACTGGAGGACCTCTATGTAGTAAAAGGATGTTGCATTGCATTGAAGATCCCATAGAGGATCCTTCCGCAGAAGGGAATTGAATTCCCCACTCTCCATAAGCGCGCATAATCTAAGCAAGTCTATATACTGTGCTTTACCATATTGACTGCAGTAGACGTTAGCGTTCTGTAACACGCCATCTTCAAAGGGCTAGATCAGCCTTTGGAGAGGAGTGGGGGTGACGTGCCATGCTATTTATTTTTTAATCCCAATTCATCAAGCAAGAACATAGCTGACCCAGAAGGGAAGGTGCAATTATACTTGTTAATGCCAGGTCAAAACCACAGTGATTCTGTTTCTTGTGAAACGGGTGGTGGAAGTGGCCAATCAGATCTCATGCTTTCTGTCAGAATGGTCTGGCCCGGGACGTTGGCGGAGGTCTGCGTGCTTTGGGTTGTCTGTCTGTTTTGAGCCATCTCAGAGGCAGACACTGCTGCTGCCACGGCTTTTTCTACAGATGTTTGACTTCCTCTCAGTCACCTGTTTTTGCTGATGTTCACTAAATATTCAACATTTTCACTTGCTTAGTTGCTTCTTTTTCTGAATGGATTGAAGTGAAATATTAGGGATTGAGGCGCAAGTTCTGCAGTTTATTTGATGTTACAAAGGTGACCCTTGAACCTCGAAGTTGGTCTTGCACTGGTACACAGAGGCACCACTACAGAACTAATATTAAATACCTCATTTTATACTTCATGCAATGCACACAAGTGGTTAGCAGAATAGCGGGTCGACACGCAGATAGTATGAGGTACCAGTCGGCAGAAAGTCAGAGGGATGCAATTTTCAGACTGAGGATGATGGATTTTGGCCAATGGGAAGCAGCAAATCAAAATTGCAAATAGGGCAGAGAGAAGTGAAAAAGCTGAATCGCACACAGAGGTTCTGCAGATGCTGCAGCAGTTAGAACCCAATGCAGGCCTGACTGAACAGATTCATTTGAAGGATTGGCAGAATGTAAACATGGGTAAAATGCCACTGTTACAAGCCAACACATCCAGCCTTTTTATATGTGCTTGAATGCATTTTCAGTGTACCTGCCCCAAGTATAATTGATGTTGCCATTTTATTTGTGATGCATGAAATCATAGTGCTGAATACAACACTAGGGATTAAATGTCCCACAAAATGTTCAACTGTTGAAAGCCTGGAAAGCTTCGGTTATAAAAGGGTCAAACACACTATTGTAAGGTTCCGTTCATACACAAGTGACCAAATGTAGCCTCTATTATAGTGTCACAAAATGTAGATGCAGGTAATTCTTGGAGTGTGTTTCCTATCACTTGCATTTTCAGTTTGTTATAAAAAAAAATGCCTTTGACAAGGGATACATAGCCTGATGACATTAAAATATATAGACAGCGACTGTGGTGGTGTTTTTTTGCATCCCGGAATTGTGAAATAAGACACGGTGCCAACAGAAGACGTATAATTTAATAACTTTCATAAGCGCCCAAAAAGGAGCATAATGAAATGAGATCTTGGTAAATGCCTTCAGCGCAGCCACTGTACAAACAGGTACTTTCCTCCAGGAAAGGGCCGTTTCGAAACCACATATGAAAACTTGTTAAACAAACTAAAGCTGTACAGGTCTTAAACCAAACATCAGTAATAACATGTGCACAGTTTTCTTTGATGGTCACAGCAGAACTGTTAGGAAACCCTATGAAGTTTACAAGCTTCTATACACAACAAAATGGCTTTCCTTCAACCTCTTAATCCTGCCTTTCAACACTAAAAGTAAACAAACTTATAAAAAAAGAAAGATTAGTTTTGCATAAACAGGTGAAATCATGAGACTGGGGTGGGTTTAGAATCGGCGCTGGGTGCTCTTGAAGGGCTTAAATCCGCTGCTGCTGGACATGGAGCTGCCGATCTGCACGATCCTGTTCATCCCCGTTGAAGAATGGCTGCAAAAACAAGGAGTGGGTTTACACCCGGCACCACGTCTCATTCGCTATTGTTAGTTTTTTCAGGGTTGAAATTAGACGTGGGTGAGTTCCAAGTATCCAGTACTTGGATTAGCCCAAGAGTTACTGCCTGACTGAGGCTCAATTTCTCATATTCCTGGGTTATGTTACATCACCAGTATTATTACTGGAATCAGTACTGAGTGAGGCCTGCCTTTACCTGGAGTGCTGGCCCACCATGCTGCCTCTGCTCTCCCCCAGCCTGCGGCTGTCAGGGTAACCCCCGCTCTGGCTGCTTGGACCCCCATGCCACTCCTTCCTGGGACCGGGGTCTCTGCTGTGCCTCTCCACGACCACTTGCCGGCCCGAGCTGAAATGCTGGAGGGGGGGGGGGGGTATTTCCGCATGGGTTTAAAAAACCAAAACCACACATCCAGCAGTGGCACTGCACCAAACATACAAAAAGGCTTTTTAAATAAAAGGCAGGGGGCAGTGACAAGGCACTCCAGGGCAGGGAAATCAGCTTAAATTCTGAATAATACTCCCTGCATTACAGCAGCCTTGGGTTTCCTGCCTGCCAATCTAAGCCAGCTAACCTGTTCGCTCACCACCATGGGCCGACCTCCGTCTCTGTCCCCGAAACCAGATCGTCCCCGGCTGGCCGAGGGACCACTGTCTCTGCTGCTGAAGCTGCTTCTTCCCCCACTGCTGGTAGGGGCACCTCTGAGGGCTGGTTCGGGCCCGTCTCTTCCAGAACGCTCTGGCCGCAGTCGCACCGCAGGCCTGTGCCACCAGGGTGCAGAAATGCATCACTTACTAATAACTTCCCACTAAAACACACAAGGAAAGTAATCGTCTTAAGTTAATCTACACACCCCCCCCACTTACCGAATGTCCCCCTTGCCAGGTGGAATCTCTCCGTCATTCTTCCAGCCCCCATGCGAATCTCTTGCAGGCCTGCTGTGAGACATGCTCGGCAGGCCTCCCCGGCTCCCTGCAGGCCGCTCGGACATGGTCACAGTCCTCCGCTCGTCTCGATCCCGGATCTCCCGCCGGTCCGTGTCCCGCATGTCAGCCCGTGGGGGTGGAGGCGGTTCTGCTCTCCTGCCGGGGTCAAAGCCCTTGGGGTAGCGGTCGAACCCGGAGTTCTCTCTCCGGGGAGTCGGCCTCCCTTTTTTACTGTCTGGCTCACCCTCGAAACGGTTGCGCCTATGAGACACAGCAGGCAAACCCTGCGTTAAGTAGGCATGTGGGGTGGGGTTACACATCCACCATTCTGTGTCACTGAATGGGGGGATTCACCTGTCAAAGGCTGGGGACTCCACAGAGGAGCCCTCCTGGAAACGCCCCCTCTCACGGGGGCTGAAATCCACGAAGCGGCCCTGCTGTCGGCTGTAGTCTGAGCCTTGACTCAGGCGGCTTTCTGCCTCGGCCTGGATCTTATTGCCATTCCAGTATGGGTCATCTCTCCTGAGGGGGTCAAAAAAAAAAAGTTACCGATTAACCACCTGCTCAAACACAATGGAAATCTGTGCAGTCATGTCATCACCATCCAAGGGTACCTGTGGTCAACATCTCTGCCCCTCTTCAGGGAACTCCTCTTCTCCTGCTCATATCGGAGCTGCTCCTGCTGCCTCCGCAGCTCCTCGCGTTCCCGGGCCAGGCGTTCCGCCTCCTTACGCCGTTCCTGTGGGTAAATAGGGGCATTCCCCAAGATGAGGACCTGCGAGGCTGCCTACTCCGTGTGGTCACACTCCCACTGCACCCCGCCCTACCTGCTCTATTCGGATCCGCTCTCGCTCCAGCCGCTCCCGCTCCATGCGCTCCCGCTCCAGCTTCTGCCGCTCCATCTCCAGCCGCTGGCGTTCCCTGAGCAGATTCTCCCGCTCCTCGCGCTCCCGCAGGAGCCGGATGCGCTCACGCTCTCTCCGCTCACGCTCTGCTATCTCCCGTCGCCTGGAGGTGGGGGGAGACGTATTCAGAAGGCCACAAGAGCAAAGCAGTGTTACATAAATACAAGAAGAAAATGTTTAACCTTGAACAATCCCTTATGTTAGATAGTACTGCTAAAGCAGGGCTCTACCACCTTGTTTACAATGAGAGGTACTTGTACAAAGAAAATCTGAGGAGCTGTATTTGATTTATAAAAAAAAAAAAATCTACTGGCAGTAGTAGGTCTTAGTCAACACATTGGTGACCACTATGCTAACATCTACAAAGCAAACGGCTTACGGGCAGACCAGGGCATGTTCCACAAAGCAGGATGTCTCAATTAGCTGGGTTTATTTACGCTATTAGTCATGATTGTCCAATAAGAGTTTGGGTAAAACATTCCTATTGGACAATAGTGACTTCTAGCTTAAGTAAACCCAGCTAATTGAGAAATCCTGCTTTCCGGAACACTCCCTATGAAACGAAGAGGATCACCAGCACCTGCAATCTGTGTATTTGAAGAGTGTAGTTATATACATCTGACTCACACCCAAAGCACCACTGAAAACCTCACTTATGAGACTCGCACGCTCTTAAAATACCTGCGGAGCTCCATGGCCCTTCGAATGCGTTCCAGGCGTACCAGGCGTTCCCGCATGCGCTGCTCCTTCATCTTCTCAAAGGGCAGGATATCCTTCTCCCCCTTAGCAGGGAAAATCCTACCCTTGTCCATCTAGGAAAAGCAGAGTGGGATCCTCAGCAGAAGGACAAGTGATCCATGAAACCCAAAAAGGAGAAACGAAACTTCAACCAACCTCTTCTGGTGGAATGAACCATCTGGGTCGGCGAGGCATCATGTTTGGAAAAACTGGCTGTAGAGGGAAGAGGAAAGAAAGGCTTCAGTCTGAACCAGGTAGACATGCTAATAGAGGAGGGCAGGGGGCACTCGGGGATTAAAAACTGATCTGGTACCTTGTCAGACCTTCCCCTCCGAAAAGGTGGCCTGGTTTTGTTGTTCGCAGGTTCTGCTTTGGTCTGATCAATCACTACCATTTTCCCTGGACTCTTCAGCCCTAGAACAAAGTGTAAAAATGTGCCCACATAAATATTACACTCAAAATGTATTAAAGACAGACAGAGAGACAGACAAACCCTATCATTTCAGAAACTCATTTCTAGGGGCCTAATCCTAATCCAAAGTACGATAACCTTAACACCTATCCAGCCCAAACCTTAACCATAAATAACCTAACAAAATTCAACACTTCGGCATTTTTCTTTTTTTTTGCAATCATAGTTTAACAGAAATAAGGTTTACATTGTGAGGATCTGAAAAGTAACAGGTTCTACCACATTTTGGGTAAATTTGGTTACCATGATGTGATAAACACACACACACACACACACTTACGTCCATGTTTCTTTTCATCTTTCTTAGATGAGTCGGGAGCAGAAGACATCAGCTCTGACTTTGAGCTTTTTGCCTCCTGTTTCTTGGACGCATCTTTCCCCTCCTTTTCAGATGGCTTCTCAGATTTCTTCTCCTCCTTTTTGGATGCTGGTGTCCTGTGATTGACAGCACACACAACACTGGTACGTCTAATCCCCTCTCAGCATCTCACAAAACATTCACAAAGCGGCATCGCATCTCCCAACATACTTGCTTGTCGTTTTCGTCCCAGTGGTTGTCCGTTTGTCGCTAGGCGTTTTGCTGAAGCTTGTCTTCTCTTCGCCTTCTTTTTTAGAGAACTCCCTTTTGAAAGGGTCACTTTTAACCTAACAGTAGAACAGTCCACGTAAGACCACTAACCAAAGAAACGCAATGCCAAAAAAATTTATGTTCTAGGTCTTAATAAAACCGGGAAGTCGGAGGTTCTGGAACTCCAGAACAGGAGTTCAGACTACGTAAGAACTTCTGTGCCACGTTACCCTATCAACTGAGATCTGCTGTCCGTGGAGTTCGGTGCGGTCGATGTGGGAGATGCAGCGGGCCACCTCGGCGCTGGAGGACATTGTCACTAAGCCGTAACATTTTGCTCCAGGACTGCGTGCATTGGTCACCACTTTAGCACTGAACACCTGCAACGTCATATTGCAATATAAGTCACGCTACACACTGAGAGACCACGTTTAGCCAACACAACCCGGTATTGCACGTTACGTCAGCTTGTGACAAGCAAACAGATCTTCGTTTGAGCAATAATCTACCTTTCCGTATTTGCCAAACAGATTCTTCAGGTCAGCTGCTTTGGTGTTGGAGGACAAGCCGCTCACCCAAAGGTTGCGTGTCGAGCTGCTTCCACTCCCGCTCGTACCTCCTAAAACAGTGCGGTCTTTACAGCACGGGCACTCATGCAAACGGTCATGCACACTGCACAACATGGAGCCATCTACTTAAGACATACTAGAAATGTAATCCGAAACATTAAGTAAGGAATTCAGTTCCTTCAGGATGAAGGCCAAAATTAAAAGCAAACATTGTTTGCAATTTCACAGTTCAGTTTTGACTGCTTTTGTTATTTGGTGCTATGCGGTTAGCATAGCAAGCACCTGCTGTTTTAACAAGCTGAGGGCGCCATGTTGGTTCATTTGTGTTTTGGCCGTTTGATTTTGGTTTCTTGACTCAAGTTTGACTAAAACAGACACTGGATATTCTTAATCCACATAATCTGCAGGTGACCATTTGCTACAGTCTTCGGATATTACCACATAAATACAATATGCTTTGCTACGATGAGTCTGCAGGACAAAGACCCTTCATGTTTTCCTTCAAAAGGAAGGATTTTATACCCAAGGGCTTAACACTATTAAACATGGCAGGGAAGGATTTCTGCCTTGTTCATCCAAAAATCGCAGTCTCCTTTTGCATTTTATAAAGCCAGTAATTTCATTTGAATATTCAGTAACATGTGTCAGCAAATATATTTAATTCAAAGAAACATGGGATTTTTTTTGCAGCGTAGAGCCAAATTTCAATTAAGCGATGGATGCCATCGTTCTACCCAAAAAAATAAGACGAGAAATGATGAAAATCCGCTGTAACAAGTATTCACAACAGTCCAGACAACAGCCTAAATCTTGGCTCCAAAAATACAGTTAAATTCCTGTGTGCTGTTAAGAATTCAGCAGCTGCTGGATTCTCCCTGATGCATTATGTCACTAATGAATCCCCTAAGAGATCCCAGTTCTGGCTCATATTCTTGGTTCGTGCCGATTCACATCTGGTTCTGTTGAATATTTAGAATTAACTTGACGTTTGATTCAGCTATAAAAATTGCAGCCAACATCAGGGCCACATGGTCCAGAGAAACTACTGCATGTTGCATCCCTCCTTCAGGGTTTGTTAATGAGACAAACCCCAAGGGTAAAACTGAGTAGCCTTTTTTAAATGACTAATCAGACTTCTGCTTAACCAACAAAAATGTGGTCATTTGAAAGTTACAGTAGACCAGAAAACTTAATGGCCAAAGCATATATGGACCTACGTAAAATGTTTTGAAAACAGCCAAATGAAGCAACTACTTTTTTCCCCCCAAGATGCAAGATGAAGGGCTTACCTTTCTCGTCCTTTGTCATCTTTCCATCTTTGTCTTTTGAAGAACTACAATGCAAACATTTCAATAACAGAAAAAAAACTGAGTACCAGTGCATGACATAACCTGTGCAAAATGACAAAGGGATCAGAGCCATTGATTATAAAACACATTTAAAAACAGGGGGAAAAAAAGAAAAAAACGAAAAAAATCAAAATCGCCAACAGGCAAGGCTTGCACTTGGACAAAACTCCCATAATGGCTTCTTTCATTGCTTTTCCACGGATGAGAGGGTCAGGTTTTCAGCCAATTTATTCCCTGGACAAATGAAATCCTCAGGAGTGGGCCCAACTTCTCTGCAAATCATCTCATACGACTCTGACAAAACCTCTGACATCAATGGGACTATTTTTTAAAACCCTTAAGTGGGAACTGGAAAAGGCAATAAACGTGCTGGAAATGCAGAAGTAAACAGCCGTGTCATCTCCTGGTTTACGCCATAAGTAACTCAACTTCAAAAAACAACAAATAAAAATCAAATGGCAGGATTAGGTACATCAATGAACATCTCTTTTTTTTAAAAAAAAAAAAAAATCTTGAGGCTACCCACAATGCTGTGTTCTTAGTGAGAGCTGGAACTTGGCAGTAGTACCTTAAAGAACTGACATAGAAAGACAAACCTCTTTGCTTGACCTGTTGCCCCAGTAGACGAGGGGCCTTTCTTCACATAATCCTTCTCTTTGTCTCCCATATCAGCTTTCTTCGAGGTCTCTCTGCTTTCCTTCTTGGTAGCATCAGCCTTCAGTCCGTCATCTTTCTTACCATCTTTGTGGCCATCTTTAGCTTCCGCCTTCATATCTTCCTCCGGGTTCGTCTGGGCAGAGGCCTCAGGCTCATCGCAGCCCTTGTCTGCCTCCGAATCTGGAAGTTTCACATGTTTACCTGTGTCCAGGAGGTCATCGCCATCCACATCTAACGTGATGGCATCTTCTGCCTGGATTGTGACGGATATGTTATCATCCTCGACTTCTTTAGCGCAGGAGGCGGCTTCGTGTTCGATCTCCGCCGCTTGTTCAGCCTCTGCGAGGCCATCTTCACAGGCGTGATGTTTAGAATTTTCGCGAGTACCATCATCTGTATCAGTTACATCTGAGGGATTTAACAAGGATAAAACATGGCAAAAAAAACACATTTGTTTAACATACACAATACGGTGCTAAGGAACCTAGAGAAAGTAGAATAGAAAGATAGTTTAGCATTAGCGCTCACTGAAGGTCAGAAAACCATACAGGTGTACACAAAACACACATTCCTCATTGAGAAAAAAAATGGTGCGATTCAACAAATCTTCAAGCCACTTTAACCACCAACACTCTCACAGTCCTTACAGTCCCGTAAGAGTGATCCTCATATTCTGGGATGTTCCAATCCTTCACAGATCATCCATGTTCTTCAGTTTGGAAAGACATGAAGGACAGGGTGAAGAGAGAATATGGACTCCACGGACTTGGGAGTTGAGCCTTGTGTCCCGAGTCCAGAGCAACGGAGAAAAAAACAGTCAAGCCAGATTCCATTTCCATGTCTGACTGACTGGTCCTCATGAGAGCCGAGATCGAAACAACCTCCCTCTTATGGCCAACAGGGGGTGCGTGAAACCAGCGAGAAAAAGAAAGCAGTGAGATCTTCAGTCATTCGAAACTGTCCACTGCACATCTTGACACCTTGCTGGCGCATGTGCATAAGGAAGAGTGCAGCCTGAGCTGGACGTGTCCTGTCCTGGGTTTGTGCCAGCCACCATGTGTGTCCTCTTATGACGCATGCATCTGTCACAGCAGACTGATGACCAAAACAAGGCTCAGTGGGCAAGCAGCTCTAGTGCTCATCTTGACAGTCATCAAACATTGGCACCGCCATTATCTTCATTTCCCAGAGAGGGGGACGGGGAGAGAGAATGTAGCTTGCTTGAAGCCCCTGGGATTCCTATGCATGACGTGCAATTCTGATGAGGCAGTCGATCCCTGCCATCCTTTGACAAATGCAAGGAACCTTCGTACAGATCTCCTCAAGATGGGCGGGGGAGGGGGGCAGGACCAAAAATTCCGATGCGTGCTAGGGTCCAGTCCACTTCCTCCATGTGAATGACAGCCGACTAAGTGAGGCCCTACACACTGCCTGTTTTTTGGAAAGGTAATGTCCAGGCTGATAGCCAGTGACGATGGCATTAAGAGGGAGGCGCATTAACCTTCAGATGAAGAACATTACCTGTTAAACCCAAAGATGTTAACACTTCAGCAGTAGGTGAGAACACACATACCTTTTTCAAGATCCTCTTCTTCAGCCTCCTGAATACAAAAAAAGAAATCTGTCAGTGTATAGGCTGTGTAAATGTTAACAGCTAAAATTAGCAAAATACTCCCTGGAGTACAGTAAGAGTTTTATCAGCCCGTGAAAGAGATTACAGAATACTAGAGAAAATTAACACAAATACTATAGTGTGAACCTATGAAGAAAACTAAAGGCCCTCCATTACAATAAAACAGGGGTGCCCAATCTTATCCGCAAAGGGCCGGTGTGTATGCGGGTTTTCGCTGCAACTCCCTAATTAGATTACTAATTAGAGGACTGATTGGCTGAAGAGTCCTCACACCTGGGTTTGAACAGCTGACCTATAGGTTATCCCAAAAACCTGCATATACACCGGCCCTTTGCGGATAAGATTGGGCACCCCTGCAATAAAACAAAAGAGCACAAATGAAACGTATGACTTACTTATGCTTACTCTAAAGCAATCAAGCAGATTTTATGGAAAAGTCAAATATAGGTTTAACCAATTTGTATTTTTATTTTCTATATTTAGTGTTAAATGAACTAGTAGTTTTATGTTTGAAAGGCATCCTTCAAATTCATTAAACTAGCCAATAATCCCTACCTTTGAAAAAGAATCTTCTTCAATTGTGTTGTCAGTGTCTGAATCCAGCCTCTTTCCTATACAAAGTGACAAATTAGGTTGTCTAGATTCTGGCAGATATGACAAGATAATTACAGAATTTTGACAGTTAAAAGGTCCCATTCACTAATTTAACTTCTTTACCTTTAGATTTGGCATTTTTCCTAGTGGGTGTGTCCACCGACAGGGGAATTTCGATGTTGTCTGGGTCGCCGCCTTCCTCCTCTATGGCCTGAAACGGGCGCTCGTTTCAAGTTCACTCATGCCACATCAGGCCTTTCACAGCATAAATTAATCCTGTTCACCAGCTACCAAATAAACCGTTCAATACATCTCCAAATGATTTCAATGTCAAGACCAAACGGAACCAGATTACTTCAAACAACTCAAACTATCCTTTTAAAAAAATCAAAACAATTTCACCCTGCACTGATAATATGCAAGTAATCGATCTAAACGACGGTACGGCTCCAGTGTGTCGTCTTCAAAGCTTAGCCAGCAAAGCGCCCCCGATGCAACCATCGTCATTCATAGTTACTCAGTAACCAATTACAAATACCTCATTCTTGTTTTATTATACCGCATATCTCTCATTTACACTACGTTTAGTTTTGATGGAAATAAAAAGTCGCGATAGTTGTAAATAGCAGCCTTGTCTTCCGGCTAGCTGCTATCATAATGGATTCGGGGCTGCGTGTTTACTGGATAGTTATCCAGGTTTAATAGAAATAAAATGTATATAACAATAACATTTTCACTTCCAACCGAACACAAAACTAATTAGCATAATTAGTAATATTGCAGGCCCAATTACGAGCTATAGAAAAATGAATAGCTAACAATATATTAGGCAGAGGCCTAGCAAATCGATATGTACCTGGCCAACCAAGCTAAAGACGGCTAATTTAGCAATAGGATTACACACGTAATTCACTTCAGAGTTAAAGGAAATGCATACATACCTGTTTCAGTCGAGCGATGAGAACATTTTTTACTCCTGTGACATCTAAACTTCTTCGTTTAAGTTCGGTTTTTAGATCTATAACTCGTAAATCTGTTATTTTCTTAGTCTCCGTAGAAATAGCAGTAGACGCCATTTTGGCGAGAGAAAACAAGAAGTCGGTGATCTCCAGGAGCGTTAATGGTACTTCGCAATGTCCCGGATGTAACAAGGCGTGTGCGTGATGACGCAGGGTGTATGTGCTTGTTTATGATGTAGTTGTGCTGTTCTGTCCTTCACGACTGGTTTAAGATCATCCAAATTAATAAACTTTAACCAATACACCATGAACTTGTCTAGTGTGACTTGCGATATATGTCATAGTTGTTCGTTACTTTGCTAGAAACTGTATTTGCCCATCACTGTAAGTGTTGTCGATTCTGCCAATAATTAATCTTAACCTTTTATGACTAATTCTGCGATAGTATAAGGTGGTTTTCGACTTGATAGTTTATTTTATTGCCAGCGTATTAATCTGTTTATGCAGCCATGTATTTTAATGTTAAAATTTGGTTAATTTACATAAAGCTACCTTTAAATAATCTACATAGCCATGTCGCACTAACTAAATGGTTTGAGCTAGATACTTCCGGATATTTTTTTAGATGCTTTATGGACTATATGAAGTGATTTTTAATTTGTTTATTTAATACATTTATTTAATAATTCCCTTTTCAGTATAAACAATATTTCAGAATCTCCTGCTTTCTATCTGAGTCTTTCGTTTTTCATTGTTATGATGATTAAATTCAGTCACCTAGTTTCCAAACGTGATGGTCTGCTCCAATACAGTCGATCTTTTCATCATGTTCCCTAAATAAGATCAGGCCTGACTTGATCAAGAATCCAGTTGTCTTTTTTGTGGTGCGTGGTGATTTTAAAAGGTTTCTTTAACACCAAAGTTTAAAGGTGTCTTAATGATTAAGATGCAAATAAACCACCTGAGTACAAGCACACCTCGCAACAAACTTAATTAGTAATGAATTTATAAATAAAAATGGATGTCTAATCCTGCTTAGAATTAAACCGACGTTTCAGTTAAACTAAATTAATTAAACGCTCAAACATACACAACAGATGATAACATGGAAGACGGTCAGTGTCCTAGCACGAGTGCTAGAACATATGGGCCACGGACGGATGGTCACTTATCTTCTTGACTTACTAAAGTGTGTTTAAATCTAGATTAAATTAGAATTAAACACATCATGTGTGACACTGTGACACTATGCATATAAGAGCAGCAATAAACGTTGAATATAATAATAATTGCACGCATACTAAATAATCACAACGTTTATGCTTCATGTACTTAAAATTCTTTACGACGTAACTTTAATTATGTCCACTAGTGGGCATCCTATGTTAGGCGAGTCATCAAGCTAGGGTCAGGGACAGTCGTCAACTTCCTGAAATCGTCGCAAACTGTCGCAAAGCTGTTCCTCTCAGCAGGCTCAGGGGATTTTTCAGAAAACAAATCGGGTTGAACGCAAGCGGAGGCTGAAGCTACCCGGGTAAACAACAGCGAACGCCTCGAAGAGGCAGGAATGGGGACTTCATTGCGGGCCCGGATGGAAAATGAAGAGGAATTCCCACCTTTCGTGAAGAAAAAATAGATTAAGCCATTGCCTTTGTGATTCGGCCATAGGACTGTTGGCGTAGTTTGCTGTTAAAGAGAAAGAATAGATAATTACATAGGCGAAAGCCCGATGTCGTTCGCTTTTTTGTTAGTGGTTCGGTTAAATTGGGCCTCTGGTTTCGTGTTGTCAGCTTCGCAGCCCGTTTACTGACGGTCTTTACAGCATTTCGCCTCTTTTATGGTCAGCTAGCTTTCTAGCCAGCTAGTTGTTTATTCCGGACAAGGATACTGTTGTGTCAAGTTTATCTAATACGGGTGAGTAAGTTTTGCAATCTATATTGCCTGTACTCTTTTCCCTTTGGAGGTATGGTTAGTGGGTGGTTAGGCGGGCGTCGTGTGAGACCCCAGGCTGCTGCTTTCGGTCCTGGCTGCTTACTTTTGGTCAGGGAGACGGTGAAGCTGGTGCAGCCGGGCAGCTAGTTAGCTAACGACATCTTTGGCTAGATCCAGCTAGATTTCTACACATAGTTCAGATTAACTAGGTAACCTCACGATATCATTCTTCTAATTATTATGTATGTTTGTCAATATGGACGTAATCCTCTGAGATATCCATCTCGGCGTCATCGAAACACCGGAGCCACGATAACGTTAACTAGCTTTTTATTTAATGAACCAGCTGGTAAGAAAATATGCCAAATTGTTGGAGCCGACCGAGGAGTTTTCGGTTTTGATTTATTTAATACTGTGATGAATATGCTGTACTTTATACAGATTGTCTCAGGTTTCGCTAGAACCCCGACTATGCTGACTAACCGGCTTGGTATCCATTGATTTATTGTTTATTGAATTATTAACTCCTAATATGTGTGCCTTAAAGTGAATCGCATATGGATTTCATAAAATTGGGGACATATACCTGCTTTATTTCTGAAAAGATCGTCGCTTGATAGTCTAAGAACATTTCATCTGCTTTTAACGTAACGACGATTGCCAGTTTTCATGGTATGAGTTAAAATGAAGTTCAGCTAACTAGTCGTTCGTGTATGTAGTCGTTAAGGCTTTGGATCCTGCCGACTGATGGATCTTATCTTATTTTGAATAGTCAATACCCAGGTAATTTTTACCAGACAAAAATAAATTGGGTAGCGATAACAAGTGCAAAGTTAAAAATTAATGTACAGTTCAGATAATGTTAGTGTGAGTTAAAACTCAACCATCTATCAGTCATTTTTTAGTGTTCACAGAAAGGTTTACGTTATAAGTGTGGATACTACGTGCTGAAGGGGGTACTGCTGCATTTAAGATATCAGCAAAGATTGATGCTGGTTTCTAGTTTAGCATTCGGGGGTAGTTTAATAGCTTTTAGTCAGAAGTGCAGGCGAGCAAGTGTAGGAGGGCGTAACTGAGGTAAGCGGAACTTGCGGCATACGCAAGATCGTATTTTGAAATATTAATCTATGAAAATGAGTAAGAGGCCTGTTCAGATCTGAAAAATGGGACCCTTCTTTACAGAAAGCTAAGAATTGAATTCGTTTCCCTTTGGTACACTGGAGGAGTCTCATATACTTACACTCACATGAAATAGGACCACATTCCAAAATTCATGCTAAGTTATTTGATATTTAAACAACTTAGACGCTGAAATGATCTGCTCTTCTTGGTAACATTTTTAATACATGTACATTGAAAATAAACCTTGCACACTTTATAGCTGGAAGAGTAACATTGAAGAAACAATTTAGCAGTGAATATGGGGCCAAATACTGGTCTGAGTTTATATTTGTTTATGTTATCAAGAATGTGATTAAGACGTCAGGAAAATAATATGCTCTACTGTAGGAGTTATATAGATGTTATGTTTGGGGATGAATCTGTCAAACTAATAGTAACCAAAAAAAGTAAACATTTCAAGTGCTTTTCACGTCACAGAATGATGACCTTGCCTCCATCGACTGCAAAAGCTAAGAGCCAGAAATAGAATCTGTTGTGTATTCATACACATTCTCTGGTAACTATGGCAACCTCCAGCAACCCTAGAAATGCCACATTGCAGGATGGTGTCGGACAGCTATAGAATAATAATAGAATTAACACAAAAGGTACTGTGTATTTTCTTATTTGTCTTCTCAGCAGTATTCTTTCTGCAGTGATGTTAATCACTCAGTGCCTTGTTCAGATTATAAACACTGGGATTGGTTTAACAGACGGAAACCAATCAGATGTTTTTGTGTTCTGCCAGACAGTGCTTTGCCACGAGTTTCTGTTTTTTGTTGGATTATGACAAGTTTGTTACAGTGTAGTATCTTTGGGCATCTAGTTTTCCTTGAAATAGGCGGTTAGCTATGTTTTGTAACCTCCTCCTCAGTAATATGCAAGTGTTGTGCTCTAGCCTTTCCTGGCCGTTTCATTTTGGGATTCCCGTAATTTTATGTCCCTTCCGGGTATTGGCATACGCAATTGTGCTGTCATGGCTTCTTGGGGGAGGGGGGGTCTTTTGTATCCTGTTGATGGTAATTGGCATACCCTGGAGATGATATAATTTGGAGAAGATTATTTAAAGGTTGCGTGAGTGTGAGGTATCCATTATTCTAGCAAACATTTGATTGGGGTTTTAATAGTAGGAATGATGTAAGTTTTGTCAGTTCTATAACTGAGCTGTTTTGTTTTATAAAGCATTTCACCCCACAAGCAGGCAGATGGGGGTGGGGCTATCGTGTCCTCTCCTGGCGGGTGGTAATAAAACGTTCCTCCTTATGAATCCTGTTTCTTTTGTAATCTTTCCTGTAATTACTTTTTTTTTTAACAGCTTCACAATACCTGGTTGTGCTAAATTGAAGTGATACATACTGTATTTAGTGAGCCTCTGACTCGTCTGTTCTGTGTGTGACTTTGTTAGCCTGTGCTAAGTTGCCTGAATCGTGTTTGCCTCCCTGCTTCCTGTCCTGTGTCAGAGGGAGAACAGCAGGCATATGTTTCATCTGAAGCAGTCTGAGGCTGCGTGTGCACGTTTCCTGCTGAAGCTGCTTTGCTGCACTTAGTTGTCTGGTTATTTGTTCCCACTGATGCTGTCTCTCCTGTGCGCGCATGTTTTCCCTCTTGCTTGCATGTGTTGCCGCATTCTTCCCCATGGGCACAGCAGATCATCAGGGTTTCACACTGAGAGGATTGTTTCCCCTAAGGACTGTGCACCAGGGCTGTGGTTCCACGCCAGCATCACCTCTGTTATTCCCAAGAGGAGCTGCTGCAAACTGCACCCACTGCTCCCTGAACTCGCCTTCTCCCTAATGCTCTGCCTCAGCCATCCCGTCCCGTTCCTCTGGAGCCGTGGAGGGCTCTCGTAGCCTCAGTGAGATGGAGGATTTCCTGCCTGTGTTCCTTCCTTTTCTGTCTGATAAGGGAACTATTCAGGCCTTAACTTTTTGGTGTTAAGATCCTTTTGTCGCTGATTTATCATCATGATTCCGAGTCCAAGTCAGATGACGTGTGTACGTCGGCCATAAAAAGGTGAATATCTTAATCTCTGACTGTGTGTTTCTGTGTGTGAATAGCTCTTGATGTGAGTTTGAGAGCTCTTTGCTTTTTTCAGTTGGGGAACTTGTTGGGCCAGTTCCCCCTGTAACATCTTGCATTCGTAAAGATATTAGCTTCTCATTCTGTGAATGCATAATATTCTGTGGCCGTGGAGTTTTGTTAGGCAGGCACTGTTTTTTCCCCCCCAATTCTAGATATTTTTTTTTAAAAGCCAGACTATTACATGCAGTCCCAGAAGTACCATGAAAGAACCGGCTTATCACTGGTAGGCCTAAGTGAAAATGGAGGGGGGGGATTAGTTGTATGAAATAGATTTAGATTCGATTTGCATTCATAATGTAAGAACGTAGGAATTATGTGGGAGTAGAGTCTGTATGGGTTGACTTAATTAGAACTGCCTTCATGATATTACAGATGGGGGTAGGGGGAGAAGCTAAATGAAATTGAAATAATGCTGCTTCAATCACATGGTTTTATTTATAATCACTTGGCTAATGCCATACAGCTTTGGATTGCTAGATGCTATCTTTGGGCATATGCTGTTTTCTTTTCCAGTGAGCTTTTCAAGCTTTCAGAATTAGCACTTGTTAATAGCACACTGAGACTATCGGCTAATGGGCAGCAGCGTCACCTCACACTTCAAGGGCGGGGGGTTCAGATCTCACCCCAGGTCTCTGTGTGCAGTTTAACATTCTCGTTTTGGGACATGTTGGTGTCCTGCGATGTGCCGTGGCCTTGTGGCCTGTGCTTGCTGTGAGCGGGTCGAGCCCCCCTGTGACTCAGTACTGGATGTTGGATAGCTGGTAGCAGGGTATTAATTCAGGGAATAATTAAGCTATGTCCTTGTCTGTCCAGATCCACACCCTTTGTCCTACTCGTTCACTCGTGTGGTGCTGTGATATGCTGACCATATATATATATATATATATATACATATATACATAATGTGTTTATACATACATATATACACGGACACAAAACTATAGGGAAACCTGGCCATTACACTTGCAGGAACTTTTATGACGTCCCATTCTAAATCCATAGGCATCAGTATGGAGCTGGTCCCCCCTTTGCAGCTATAACAGTTGCCACTCTTCTGGGGAGGCTTTCCACAAGATTTTGGAGTGTGTCTGTGGGGATTTTTTTGCTCATTCATCCATAGGGGCATTTGTGAGGTCAGGCACTGATGTTGGACATGAAGCATGATTCGTCACTCCATAGAACATGTTTCCACTGCTCCAGAGTCCAGTGGCAGCGTGCTTTACACCACTCCGATGCTTAGCTTTGCGCTTGGTGATGTGAGGCTTGCATGCAGCTGCTCGGCCATGGAAGCCCATTCCATGAAGCTCCCTATGCACGGTTTTTGTGCTGGAGTTAATGCCAGATGAAGCTTGGAACTCTGCAGTTGTTGCATCTACAGGATGTTGGCGACTTTTATGCACTATGCGACTCAGCACTTGGCAACCCTCCTGTGTTACTTCACGTGGTCTGCCACTTTGTGGCTGAGTTTCTGTTGTTCCTAAACACTTCCACTTTGCAAACATACCACTTAGTTAACTGCAGAAAAGCTAACAGGGAAGACATTTCACCAACTGACTTGTAGCAAAGGTGGCATCCTATGACAATGCCACACATGAATTCACTAAGCTCTTCAGAACGACCCATTCTTTCACAAATGGTTGTAAACCTGACTGCATGGCAAAGTGCTTGATTCTTATACACCTGTGGCAATGGGTCTGAATGTAACACCTGAACTTAGTGATTAATCCCTTAACCTTCCAATCTTCAGCATGGCGTCTTAACCCCCTGAGCCACACACTGCCCCCGTGAACATTTTTCTGTTTATGGACACATGTCTTTTCATTTAATTTTAAATATAGTATTCTAGTTTTTTCTTTTAAGACTAAAAATACTAGGTGACATTAACTGAGGAAGTCTAAATAAATAGATATGCAAGTGTGCATGTGTTTAGGTGTGTGCACCTGGCCGTCTTTGGTTTGCATGCCTAAAAATGTCACCGTTTTGGCTGTCACTTTTACATTTTCAATTGGGTAACATAACTGTTGATTGAAACTCTTTGCTCTTCGACGTTTTTCACTGGCAAATAATTTCCTTTTTAGCACTTTTAGTAAGTGATGATCACGGTCTAGAAAGATCTGAGCCGATCTTGCAGAACATGGAAATGGTGACTCATCTAGGCACGATTCTAATACTGCAAGTCGAAGGCGGCTTTTCCGGGCGGGAGAGGCGGCCCTGGGCACTGGCTGTCAGTCAGTTGTGCTGCGTGTGGGCACGCCTGCCTGTGTGCCAGGCGAGAAGCAGCCGAACGTGGGAACCTTTTTAAGCAGATGGCTGCTTTCATAATTCAAAAGACTCAGCCTTCAGGTGACTTGGGTAGAAGGTGTTTCTCCCTCCCCCCGCTCGCTGTTGGGATGGTCCAGGGTGGGTGTTGCTGTTTGTTGGGGCCCTGGGGTTGTGTGTTAGGAGCTGCTGCGTATAGGGTGGGGGTGGTACTGGGAAGAAGGAAATGCCTCATCCCTGCAGCTCGCACTATCGCCTGGAATGTGCCATTAGCACAGAAATATGTTAATGTGCGTGTCAGCGTGCAGCTGCCCCACCTGATGTTTTTTGCATGTAGACTCAGGCCTGAGGTGTGAAATGTACATTCTTACAATTAATTTCAAACCTCGTGTAGCTGGGTGAAGGTTTCAGGTCCTGTTTGAGCTGCGTTTACTCATCTTTTAAAATCACGTTCTGTGTTTCAATGGTGGCACTTGAACATGCTATGAGGAGGGGTGTGTTACACAGGGGAGGCGGCATGGTGCTTAAAGATGTCAATGTGCAGCGCGCCGTGTCCTGTTAGCACGGTCACCTCACACCTCTTGTGAGCAGGGTTTGTGTTTCCACCCCAGCTCCACGTGCGTGGAATTTGTATGTCCTCCCTGTGTTGTCGTGGGATTTCCTTTGACATCCCCCCTGCAATCCAAAAACATGCCAAGGTGAATTGGAGTTACCAAATTGGTGCATGTGTGTGTGTGCACGTGTGTGCCCCCTGCGATGGGCTGGCACCCCGTCCTGGGTTGTTTTTTGCCTTGTACCCAATGCGTCCAGGATAGGCTCTGAACTGTCCACGACCCTGCATCGGACAAGCCGGTATGGAAGATGGATTCATGTATGGATGTTCGAATGGGAAATTATCATGCCGCTTCGGCTGAAAACATCCCGTCAAGCCAACGGCTATCCTCGGCCTGATTGTTCCCTTCCTGCTTTCTAATGTTCTGTTCTGTTCCACCACTAGCACGTTTGATTTGAGGAATTGATCATGAACGGGCTTTGAAATATAAACAAATGTGCGACGGCTGAGGGCCTAGGTAGGGGTTAAGGAAGCTGCTGCGATGAGCAACTGAAGCCTGTGGCTGTAGTGACTTGTTTTTCCCTACTGGCATTTTTGCAGAGACCCTGAGTGTTTGAATGGCTTCATCTGCAGCTCCTGAGTGCTGTCTATCTGCGTTTGTGATAACACTGTTTCCTTAACGTCAACGTTGTAAGAAAGAACTGAAGGGCTGACCCCTTTCTCCCATTATCACTGCGTGGCTTAGGCTCCGCCTCCGCGCCATGACCCCATGACCTCTGCGTGTTTGGAAAGCAGACACAGCCGCCTCTCCCCTGGTGACCACTGAGATCTGGCTGACTAATTCATGTGCGCGTCACACGTCTCTGGTTGTAGAATTTCCGCTGCTTTGGGGGAAAACCCTGAATGTGAATCGTGGGCCACTCTCTGTCTCAGTGTGCAGTCAACACCTAGTGCCACTTGCCAGGGCAGCTCGCCGGCTTCCTCTGCAGCTCAGTGTGCAGTCAGCCGCTTCGCTCAACCTTTAAAATAGTGTTCTTTCTTTTTTCTTTTGTGGTTGTTTAACTTGGTTTATAAATCATGTCCTCAATCAGGTTGCCCCCAAACAACCTGGAGTGAAATCAGATTGCTAAAATAGTAGCCTGTATCAGATTTGTTGTGGGAGTAAAAGACAGAGTAGTCTGACTTTGTCATTAGTTCCAGCACTGCCTGCTTCCTCGTTTAGCCACATTCTATTGTAAGTACTTCAGTTGCTGTTCTCCAGGCTGACAGTCAGAATACAATGATCTTTGTATTTCCAAGCTATGATGCTCAGTGTATAGCATTAAAATTAGGTTTGGTGATTTGACCTTTGATTGAAAAAAGGGGAAGAAGAGAAACTGCATTTTAACCCCATGTAAAATACGACAATGAGATTGTAAATTTGCATGAAATCACTAAAGATGAATCACTTCAGGTCCATATTGCCCATGCTGTTCTTTCACCATGGGAAAGCAAGCAATGTGGCACTTCTTCCTAATTAAAAATCTCTCTCTCATATATATAAATGTAAAACAGATGTATATAGCACACGTTATGACACGTGTGTGTGTGTGTGTGTGTGTGTGTGTATGTATGTATGTGTATATATATGTATGTGTGTGTGTATGTATGTGTGTGTGTGTATGTGTGTGTGTATATATATGTATGTGTGTGTGTGTATGTATGTGTATATATATGTATGTGTGTGTGTGTATGTATGTGTATATATATGTATGTGTGTGTGTGT